GGGGCCAGGGATGCCCAAACCTCCGGCCCTCGAGCTGCGGTGAAACTACAAATCCCATGAAGCATCTCTCTTCCGGGAGTCACGTCTGTGGCTGTGAGAATCTTGCAAAGCCTCATGGGATTCGTAGTTCCACCCGCAGCTGGAGGGTCGCAGTTTGGCCACCCCTGCGCTTACCAGACTGATGGCTGCTCGGTGGCCCCTCCCCCAGTGCTGAACGCCCAATGGATGGGAGAAGGGAAGCTCACGTACCCGAACCCTGACTGATCAGATCAAATGCACCGCGAAAACCAACCGCGAGGAGGCAGCGCCTAGAAGACAAAGTCATTTACCAAAAACCTAACCGGAACGCCCCGAAAATTCCCCGTGCGGGTTAGATCGATGGACCCCCCGAGCCTAAGCTGCACCCCAAAACCGCCAACAACCCCCAAAAATTATCTAGGACTGCTGCGTGTGACGGGGCCGGGCCAAGCTGGCAGCACCACCATTAGATTACAATACAAATCACTGATTGATACATTCGCTGTGATCGGCCGATAGGAACGGATACTTTGTATCACATTGTTGCGTCTCTTCCATACGGAACACAAAGTATCGCATTATTGTACGTTGCCGGAGAGCCGACAGCGGCCCCAGAGGACGGACATGACGCTCCAAGCCGTCCTGGAGGACCCGGGTGATAAACGCCGGCGCGGGGGAGGGGTCGTCCGATGCCCTATAAATACAATCTAGGGAGGAATAAAAGCCGGCTGCACTCGGGAAGCTTCAGCCCCTGAAAACGTTATTGTACTGGACAAACAGCATAGAGTCCGTGCCTGGGACTTCCAGCTGACGCATTTCACCCCCAGACCCGAGCAGGAAGGAGGTGTATAGATATATATTATATACGCACACACGTGTCACTGGTAATCGAGGACATATAAAGTAACACACAATCCCATCATTGCAAACACGTTTATAGCGACACATCTCTCCTACTAAAGGGCTTTACATGAACTTCTCCCGGTATAAAAAAAATCAGAGGCGGCACGAAAAATAACTAAAAACAAATCCTAAAACGTAAAAGAAATAATAAAAACATTTAAATTTGTATAAAAATCAGTTTTTTTATTATTTTGTTTGTGATAAAGTTCTTTTAGCGGAGGCGGCTCATGTTTTATACCAGGAGAGGTTTATAGGCCCATAGTAGGGATACACATGTATTATTTAGCGTGTGTGTTCCTTTAAATGTCTTCTATTACCCATTACACCCGTATGTGTGTATATATATATCTCGGCTCCTCCTCCCCATGTGTATATATATATCTCGGCTCCTCCTCCCCATGTGTATATATATATCTCGGCTCCTCCTCCCCATGTGTATATATATATATATCTCGGCTCCTCCTCCCCATGTATGTGTATCTCTCTCTCTCGGCTCCTCCTCCCCATGTATGTGTATGTATATCTCGGCTCCTCCTCCCCATGTATGTGTATATATCTCGGCTCCTCCTCCCCATGTATGTGTATATATATATATATCTCGGCTCCTCCTCCCCATGTATGTGTATCTCTCTCGCTCTCGGCTCCTCCTCCCCATGTATGTGTATCTCTCTCTCGGCTCCTCCTCCCCATGTATGTGTGTATATATATATATACATATATCTCGGCTCCTCCCCCCTCAGGCTTGTAGGTGAAACGCATCAGTGGTGGAAGCAGAGGATGACCCACCGCCGGCTGTGTTCTGCTGCCGCCATCGATTCATAAGGAAACCTATGATGAGAAATATGGAAGATGCCAATTTCCTGGCTGTCACGCCGTCCCCTTGACGTGAACACGCAAGGGGGACTGAGGAACGCGCAGGGGGGGTCCACAAGGCATACCGTTCACTGCTTAACATTGTGTTCATCTTACCCATGGACCCCCAATGTCAGGGGCCCCCTATCCTGCTGACCACCAATGTCAGGGGCCACCTGTTCTGCTGACCCCCAATGTCAGGGGCCACCTGTTATGCTGACCCCCAATGTCAGGGGCCACCTATGCTACAGACCCCCAATTTCAGGGGGCCACCTATCCTGCTGACCCCCAATGTAAGGGGCCACCTATGCTACAGACCCCCAATTTCAGGGGGCCACCTGTCCTGCTGACCCCCAATGTCAGGGGCCACCTGTCCTGCTGACCCCCAATGTCAGGGGCCACCTATGCTACAGACCCCCAATGTCAGGGGCCACCTGCCCTGCTGACCCCCATTATACAGGGAAATGTATTTCTATGACATCCAGTGTAGGGGGCACTCCTCCGCTGACCACCACGCATGTACCCCGAGATATTTCTAGCATGGGGTTCCCTTACACCCGTAAATTATTTCAAGGGATCCTCCGCGGTGAAATGGATGAAAAAGGCTACAAAATATTTGGTAAGATCGGAACCTTTGCGGCTTCTTCTTCCCGTTTCCTGCTCTGAGACCTATGGACGCCGCTCCCCGCGATCCCCGGAAGTCAGTTCCCTGCTCCAGGCAACAAATGTATCACTTAAAGCTGAACCCACGGGTATACATACCTGTCCTGCTGACCCCCAATGTCAGGGGCCACCTGTCCTGCTGACCCCCAATGTCAGGGGCCACCTATGCTACAGACCCCCAATGTCAGGGGCCACCTGCCCTGCTGACCCCCATTATACAGGGAAATGTATTTCTATGACATCCAGTGTAGGGGGCACTCCTCCGCTGACCACCACGCATGTACCCCGAGATATTTCTAGCATGGGGTTCCCTTACACCCGTAAATTATTTCAAGGGATCCTCCGCGGTGAAATGGATGAAAAAGGCTACAAAATATTTGGTAAGATCGGAACCTTTGCGGCTTCTTCTTCCCGTTTCCTGCTCTGAGACCTATGGACGCCGCTCCCCGCGATCCCCGGAAGTCAGTTCCCTGCTCCAGGCAACAAATGTATCACTTAAAGCTGAACCCACGGGTATACATTATATATACTCACATTGCTCCAGCTACGTCACACCTGTAAGGGCCACGGGGGGGGATCCTAAGAGGCACTGCAGAGGACAGAGCTACCACAGTGCTGGCCGGATCACGTATGGAGCCGAGCGACTTCCCTTCTACCATGAAGATACAGGGGGGGGTGGGGGGAGGGGAGGGGTCACTCGGCACAGCGGCCATTCAGCAAACGGCTCGTATCTTTATCGATGACTACAAGCTGTTCTCTGGTTGGACAACAAGGCAGGGATGTCACAATTCATCTCTCGTCCAATCAGGGAATGCCTTGTATTAATTCATAAAAAGACATAACCTCCCCTCCTCCAATCAGAACT